GTCGCTGAGACAAACTCCCGACACACTCTCGGAAGGATATCCTATAGAGTTCACAGGGCTGATTCAAAGAAACCAGAACCGGCCCAAAGTCTATACTGAGGGGATGTAAAGGTGGGCAGGATTTATCCCTTTCCTATTCTGAGCTGAGCAAGGATTTAGCACCAGCAGAGTGGCAGGTGCATCCCTCTCCCCACTCGGCTTGCACACTAGATTGCTAAAGCCATGGCAAGATCGTTCGTTTCCACCTCTACATCCTCGAGAAGAAAAAAGCTGTATATCTAAGAGCTACCAGAAATGCTAACAAGCGTTTGGCACAGTGCTGGAATCCAAGGCCCTGCAGGAAGAAGGAGATGTTCTTCTTCAGGGAAGACATCACTGCTAGTCAAAAAGCAATGTGACGCTCCCCGACCCCTACCCTGGGCCCCACAGATAAGACCAGAAAATCTTAAAATCAAGGAGGCGGCAAAGCAAATTCAGCATATATTGGGTAGCCCTTTGGAAACCCCAGGAAGACTCGGTGCGAGCAAAGTGGAGCCTCAGTAAGAAGAAGAGACCCCCGAGCTTCGACTTACATCTTCTGGGACTGTGACTCCGTTGGTTTTCTGTGGGGGAGAGAGAAGAAAACGTCAAAGGGGCCGATGCCGGGGACCTTGCAATGCTGGCTGGTGGGATGGGGAGTTAGGGATGGGAGATGATGACAACAGCACAACCTCCTCCCCCCTCCTTGGAAGGGCTGCAACCCCCTCCCCCAAAAAAACCCTCCCGCTTGCGATTGCATAGCCAACAAAGGGGGGGGGGGCTCTGGAAAGGGGCTGGCCGGGCAGCAGGCCTCCCTTCCTCCTACCAGCGGGTGGTGTGTGTGGGCAGCGCCGGATTTAGGTTTGATGACACCCTAAGCTACTGAAGGTAATGAGGCCCTTTATATGTCCATCTGTCCTTTGTCAACAACAAATTGTCCCTGTTTTTGTGTGTTAAATATCTGCTATATGGTAATTTATGGACCTAATAGGTATCTAAAGCCATATGCACACAACAAAATATGAATTTTATCAAAGTAATTGTTGAACTGAAATACAAGTAAAGAAGTTTATTAATAGTGAAATAATTATGAAGCCTTTTATATGTCCAGCTGTCCTTTGTCAACAACAAATTGTTACTGTTTTTTGTGTTGAATATATGCTATGTGGTAATTTGTGGACCTAATAGGTATCTAAAGCCATATGCACACAACAAAATATGCATTTTATCAAAGTAATTGTCGACCTGAAGTACAATTAAATAAGTATATTGGTAGTGAAATAATTATGAAGCTGTAACTTAAGATGATTTATGCATAAACTTAATAATGCAAACACATTGGCATCTGGCAGTAACAAAAGTTCCTTTAGAAACGCAATTTACAAAGACTCATAATTTTTGGGGGCCCCGCCCCCCAAGAGAGTGGGGCCCTAAGCTACAGCTTATTTAGCTTATAGGTACTAAATCCGGCCCTGTGTGTGGGGTTGGGGGCCTGCCCGCCCTGCTCACCCACCGTGGGAAGAGGCGACGATCTTCTTGCGCTCCTCCACCGTGGCCAGGCGCCTCCAGAGCGACGGGTAGCGCTTGTACAGGGAGCCCCGGAACATCCGCAGGTAGTTGCCCACCTGCAAGGGGACGCAGCCACAGGACCCGCCTCGTCAGGCGCCGCCGCCCGCTCGACTGGGACCCCCCCCTCACCTACCCCAGCCCCGCAAAGAGCGCGGGAGGCGACGCTCCAGCCCCTCCGCCTCCCTCGGCCGCCGCCGCGCCCCGCTCCCTCCTCACCTCAGAGCCTATCATGAAGAACTCGCCGTCCTCCTCCAGCTGGAACTTGACGGGCTTCTGCCCGAAGGTCTTGCTCAGCGCCATCATCATCATCTCGGCGGCGGCGGAGTGAGGCAAGGCCGGGAGGGATGAAGCAGGCCGGGCCGGGAAAAAGCGACGGGAGGCGGCCGCGGCCTAACTGGGAGGGCTAGTGCGCACGCGCGGCCACGGCAGCCAGGCTCCTTGCCGGCGGCGGGAGGGCGGCGGAGGCCACGCCCCATGCCCCTCCCGCCTCCCTGCTGCGCTTCCAGCTCCTCACTGCGCCTGCGCGAGGGGAAGGGTGGGTTTTCCTTTCTTTCTTTCCTCCTCCTACCCCGGCGGGGGGGGGGGGAGATGGTTATGAAAAGGAAACCCCGCCCCTTCCCTCCCCTGGAGGGCACGATTGGCTGAGCTCTAGGGGCGGAGCCTGTCCGCAGGCCTTTGGCTGAGCCGCGCAAAAAGCCCTCTAGAGGGCGCTCCTACCTTCCTTCTGACTGGTGCTCCCAGCAGCCCGGACTGTCTGAGCTGGGATGAGCGAGTTATTTATGTATTTATTTTATTTTATTTCTATATTTTATTTACAACATATACCGCCCTATACCCGAAGGTCTCAGGGCGGTTCACATAAAATATCAAATACATAAAATCAAAACGAAACCAGCAACCCAATAAAACCCTCCAAAAGAGCCAGCGTTTTAAAAAATGGTATAGGATGTAGGTCAAGTCAGGCAAAGGCCTGGCTGAAAAGGAACGTTTTTGCCTGGCACCTAAAGGTGTATAGTGAAGGCACCAGGCAAACTTCCCTGGGGAGAGCAGTTGCACTATCTTCATCATAGCTGTCAACTTTCAGATTTGAAAATAAGGGATCAGCAGCCTCACCTGTCCCGGGGACAGTCTACGGGATATCTAACAATCTGGGATAGGAGTTGGAAGGAGCGGGAAATGGCGCTGCAATAAGGGAATTTCCTGCAAAAAAAGGGAAGGTTGACAACTATGATCTTCAGTTGGGGAGTTCAACTGGCTGAGCGTGGGAATCAACCGCCAAGCCTGGAGATCTGCTGCATCTGAAACTGCTGCTGGTGGATCCTACTCTGGTATTGCTCCTTAAACTAGCCAATCCTAACAGTTTAGGAGGGTGGAAGAAATCCAAGTCATTTCGCATTTCGAGTACCTGATTCACACTCTCTGAAATGGAGACACAGCGAGAGGCAGTGAGCTACAGTAATGAGATGCTCCTTTCAAAGTGTGCAGGGACAAAGGCTGGATTGGATGAGATTCTCACATTAACAACAACAACAACTATCTAGCCTTTGTTCTTAACTGTTGTCTTCAAATCCCCTTGGAAGCCAAGACCAGTTATTTCTGTTGCACCTTTCATTTCCTCCCAAGAGAGGCCATACAGATCTGAAATAACATGTAAGTTATTCAAGCTGAAGATAGATCAAAACAAAACAAAACCTAAACCCATATCGATTTGCAGTTAAGCAACTGCACAATCCATACATCTTGCCACCAGATGGAGATATTGTATGTGTCTGAGCTCTCTCTCTCTCTCTCTCTCTCTCTCTGTGTGTGTGTGTAAGAGAGAGAACTACAACCACAATATTGTACCTCTTCATCAGTGAGGGGGAATCCACTGAGGATCTAGGAAAGAGTTCGTGTTTTGAGTCACTTTGAGGGTGTAGCTGCTTTCTTGTTAGCAAAGCTGCTGCCCTCCTCCTGCACCCTGAGACAGTTATTAAGAGGCTGAAATATTTGCATAGGGACACGGGTGGCGCTGTGGGTTAAACCACAGAGCCTAGGACTTGCCGATCAGAAGGCCGGTGGTTCGAATCCCCATGACAGGGTGAGCTCCCATTGCTTGGTCTCTGCTCCTGCCAACCTAGCAGTTCGAAAGCACGTCAAAAGTGCAAGTAGATAAATAGTGACCAAACCAAGTTGAGTCCCTGGATTCCTTTAACGGAATACCCTTCACATAGGGATGGCGAGACCGTTCTCCCACCTCTATCACATGAACCAGTGCCTATCTGCAACCTTACAAGTTGTGATGATTTGCTATGCGGCAGGCGAAACCCAAATGGCAACAGCTAATCAGCCAAGTGGGGAAAATTCCTGCCAATGACAGACGACACACGATGGCATAGCAAGGTCAATCGCAAAATGCCCTAAAAGTACGGAGAGGTGGGCGGGTGTTTTGATGCACGAGCCAAAAGAGGAAGCTCTGGGTAACGTGCATAGGTATATATAGGTCCCTCGATCCGTTTAAACTGCACCCCATTGGCCAGATTAAGCCCAGCAACGAGGGACCTACCAACTGGGTGTTGTGGCTACCCACAACCAAGAGGTCAGTCTCCAGGTCTCACTGCAACACTCCCTCATTGAGGGAGGACACGCTTTATCGGTCTTACTCCATCAACATGAAAGGGGAGATTTTTTAGCAAAAACCCTGAGGTACCACTGTACATTCGAAAACCGAGGTACCACTGTATTTACATTCATTCATTGGACGACAACCAGCCACCTTCTTCTGCCTCAGCTGTAGCAAAACATGTCTCTCCTGTATCCTGTAGCCATAGCAGACATTGCAACCTTGCAACAGTTTGACTTCACTCCCAAAGGTGCAGCCCTCCATTGTTTCCCTGGACAGAGGGATGCCAACCAGTCATTGCTCACTACAGTGGTACCTCAGGTTAAGTACTTGATTCGTTCTGAAGGTCCGTTCTTAACCTGAAACTGTTCTTAACCTGAAGCACCACTTTAGCTAATGGGGCCTCCTGCTGCTGCCGCGCCGCCAGAGCACGATTTCTGTTCTCATCCTGAAGCAAAGTTCTTAACCTGAAGCACTATTTCTACGTTAGCGGAGTCTGTAATCTGAAGCGTATGTAACCTGAGATACCACTGTACAATATTTTTTTCTCAAAACAACATATACAGTGGTACCTCAGGTTACATATGCTTCAGGTTACATACGCTTCAGGTTACAGACTCCACTAACCCAGAAATAGTGCTTCAGGTTAAGAACTTTGCTTCAGGATGAGAACAGAAATCGTGCTCCGGCAGCGTGGCAGCAACAGGAGGCCCCATTAGCTAAAGTGGTGCTTCAGGTTAAGAACAGTTTCAGGTTAAGTATGGACCTCTGGAACGAATTAAGTACTTAACCCAAGGTACCACTGTACAGTTATAAAAAGCATACATTATTCAAAATTAAAAAGGTGTCATTAAATGCATCCCAGGGCCTCTGAATCTGGAACAGATGAGTAAAATCTGTCTGCATCTGGTTGTTCTCTTTTCTTCAACCAGATCTCCACTCACCCTCTTTATCCCAGCGTATGTTTGCAGTTGTTGACATGCTATAAATTACAACTTGGAGAGGCACTCCCACCATGGCGTCCTGCCAGAAATTGCATTCCAGTGTTTACTTCAGGCTTCAGGCTGTTTTTGAAGGAAACATGGCTGCTGGAGGCACTCTCGGCCAGGAAGAAATGACTTGCCCCGTTTGCCACCAACCTTTCTTGGACCCAGTGATTACTGACTGTGGACACAGTTTCTGCCACGCTTGCCTCATCCAGTATTGGAGCGACTCTGATGGAGCAGGTTCTTGCCCTCAGTGCGGAAAACCTTTTAAAGAAGGCAGCTACAGGCGGAACCATGAGCTAGCAAGGCACGCAGGGGAATCCTCGAAATCTAAAGAAGGGGAAGATGCGAAAAGCAGGATGGGAAGGTGCGATAAGCCGGAGGAACTCCTGGAATCCTGTGAGGGTGATGATCAAATGGTTCGAAAGAAAAAGGTAGGAAACTAGGGAGGGGAGGGAGGGAAATGAATTTGGTTTGCTTACTTTAACTAGGGAGGGGAGGGAGGGAAATGAATTTGGTTTGCTTACTTTAAAAAAAGTTCAATTGATTCACATGTATCTCTTCCATAAAATTTATGCATACAAACCAGAAAGCAGTTTACAAAAATAATAAAACAATAAAGTTATCGATAAAAGCAGTTAAATAGCATTTAAAACATTCAGAAAGTAATTAAAATCTGCAATAAGCTGAAAACAGAATAAAGCATATGCCACCCTCTGCTTGCTCATAATTTACCCGCCATGGGCCCACACTTTACCTTGGTCTTTTAGGAACACAGACTGACACTGTACAATGTTATAAATGAGACTTTCCCCTACCGATGGACTTGGGAAATTGTTGTCACCAAATCAACTAGGGTTGCTAGGTCAGGAGCATCTCAGATCCTGAAATTTCAAGGCCCAGACCTGAGACCTAAGGGAGCCCCCTGTTGATGTCATGGGGACAGGCCCTGGAGACGGAGGTTAATTGGGAGAAGGGATTGGAGGAGGGCAGCCTCCTCACTGAGTGTCTGTGCTATGATTTGCAAATGGCTCCTACTGGGTTGAGGCTTGCAAGCTAGATGCACAAAATTCTTAATTACTATTAATAATGCATAGTAGAGGAAATTGCATAAACAAGTATGTATATTGGGGAAAATGTGCTGTAAAATGCTGGTGAATTTTCACGAGCTGCTCCTTTTTATTTATTTAATAAACTGGCAAAGTGGTGCAGAAATGTGACAAATTGAACATAAGATTGGGGGGGGGAATGAAAAACACCAGAATGCACAGATTCATTCATCCCTACTTCTAGATCACACAAGTGACACCTTGGCTTACAAAGCCTTATCGGTGGTGTTATGTTCTGAAGTTCTCACCCTGGGCCAGCAGGGGGATACTGTAGATAGGTTTCACTCAGGTCCACATATGCAAATAAGGGATTGAAAGTGACGTTCAGTGATTGGATAGTTACAGAAAAGGGTTACTGTTGCGTTGTAGTGGATCTCTATACAGTGGTGCCCCGCAAGACGAATGCCTCGCAAGGAGAAAAACTCGCTAGATGATAGGGTTTTGCGGTTTTTGAGCTGCTTCACAAGACAAATTTCCCTATGGGCTTGCTTCACAAGACGAAAATGACTTGCGCTTTTTTTTAAAGCCGCTTGAAGAGGCGCAGTTGCGACGGACCGTGCTTCGCAAGACGAAAAACATCGCAAGCCGAAAACTCACGGAACAAATTCTTTTCGTCTTGCGAGGCACCATTGTACAGTTGCGACTTGACTTTGAGGAGCAACTCATAGAACGCAGTGTGGTAGCCTTTTTTTGAGGTTTTTGGTGATTTTTGAAGCTTTTCCAAAACTTTTCCGACACCGTGCTTCGCAAGACGAAAAATTCGCTAGACGAAAAAACTCGCGGAACGAATTAATTTCGTCTTGCGAGGCACCACTGTATAAGCAGGCTGGCTGAACCCTTCAGTTCAATTCTGTTCTGGCCTGTGAATAAACAAGAGTTGTTTGAAGAATTACTGTGTCGTTTGATATGTTCACCCACAACTTAACAGGTGGTATTGTATCTTTCTGGTTAATTACTCTGGTTGTGTAGAAGAACTCAGCTGTTACATTTCCATGTTGGGGGGGGGGGAGGAAAACGAAGGAGTAGGTGGAGTTGTACTTCTAAATCAAGAACTTTACTAAGAATCATCTGATTTTTAAAATATTTTTAAGGGAACCATGATACCGAAAGGGACGTCCACACTGCTTGTAGTTATGGAAGAAGACATTAAGTGCCCTATTTGCATAGACTATTTAACAGACCTTGTGACTCTGGATTGTGGCCATAACTTTTGTAAGGCCTGCATCAACCATTACTGTGAGATATGGAAGGAAATAGGTCCACCGGAATGTCCTATCTGCCGAACAAAGATCCAGAAAGGGAATTACCGGCCAAACTGGCTGCTGACCAGCATTGTAGAAAACTGCAAACGCTGCAAAGGAGCACTGTGTGACAGACACAAGGAAAAACTTCTACTGTTCTGCAAAGAAGACAGAGAATTGCTATGTTCCAAGTGTGAACTTTCGCCACAGCACAGCCAGCACTCAGTGGTTCTCCTGGAGCATATTGAACAGGTAGGAACTTGTCTAGATAAGCCCCAACCAACATTGTGTCCTCCAGATGTTATGCAATGCAGATCTCCGACCAAAAACAAAATAGGTTACAGAATGAGGGGGAAATGCAGTGCATTTATTGGTGAAAATAAAATGTAAAATTATGTTGTATTAGGGGGAAATGAGTTCCAAAAAATTTCCTGTATGGAGAGCAGTTCTGTCCATTCCACCCACCAGTTTAGATATTTGCCCTTTAAATTTTTTTGCACTCCAGGTTCCATGGAAATCTTTGCCACTCTAATGGTGATAGGAAGGGGGTTGAATCCTGTGTTGTAGCCGTTATCCCCTGCCCAACCCCCATGGCTCAAGTTTGACAAGTGGGTAGGATCACCTGACATAATTAGGAGCTGCTAGACCCATACCAAAAGGGACGCAGGTGGTGCTGTGGGTTAAACCACAGAGCCTAGGGCTTGCCGATCAGAAGGTCGGTGGTTCGAATCCCCGTGACGGGGTGAGCTCCCATTGCTTGGTCCCTGCTCCTGCCAACCTAGCAGTTCGAAAGCACGTCAAAGTGCAAGTAGATAAATAGGTACCGCTCCGGCGGGAAGGTAAACGGCGTTTCGGTGCGCTGCTCTGGTTCACCAGAAGCGGATTAGTCATGCTGGCCACATGACCTGGAAGCTGTACTCCGGCTCCCTTGGCCAATAAAGCGAGATGAGCGCCGCAACCCCAGAGTTGGTCACAACTGGACCTAATGGTCAGGGGTCCCTTTACCTTTACTTAGACCCATACCTGAACCTCAGCTGACTATTATCAAGTCTCTTCTCTCCGGACGTCTCCTTGAGAGGAGGATTTTACTCCTGAGGAGTCCTTACCAGTAACTGACCACTGATGGGAATGGGCTGGGTTTGTATTTTTTTTTTTTTTAAATAGTATTTATTAGGGTTTTAAGTTTACAAAAAGGCAAAAGGAAACCCACGAAATTAAACAATGACAAAACAACACATCACAATAAAAAAACATAAAGATTGAAACAATTAAAAACAAACAAAAAAAATCAAACCTTCCCATAACTTATCTTTCATTTGCTTGTTTCCCTGACCTCCTCACACCTCCCTTTTTTGTATTCTAAGTCAATTATCCATTTCAGCAAATCCTTTCCCTCTCTTCAAAATTTTTATCCTGAAAATTTATCTTGATCTTAATATAATTTTACTTTCCCTCTTTTCACCAATTAACAGTCTATTTTTCTTAGGGAATGGGCTGGGTTTGTATCGGGCACTTCCTTTCTCTAGGACTCAGGACCCATTTGGCTTCAGTGTCAGAGGACTAACCTTGGTTGTGAACAGCCCCTACTTAGTTTTGTCTGAGGACCCCAACTCCCTGCCCCCAGATGGAGCCTGATTCAGAACTTGGTGTAGTGCTCCCCCAGCTGGGACATGACAAGGTGAGATTCACGCCCCCCCCCCCGCTTTTAGCCTGAAGTGGTACAGTCAAACCTCGGTTGTCGAATGTAATCTATTCCAGAAGACCGTTCTGAGTCCCAAAATGTTCAACAACCGAGGTTCAAATGGCTGTAGGCAAAGTCAATGGAGAAAAAAATATAAAAACTCTCCGGAAGCCGTTCAGCTTCTGAAAATCGTTAAAAAACCAGAGCAGTTACATCTGGGTTTTCGGCATTCAGCAGCCAAAACATATGATAATGGAGGTGTTCGGGAACCAAGGTTTGACTGTACAAACCAGGTTTTTTATTTTTTTAAAAAATAAGAAATAAGAAATAAAATAAAATGTACACCCCTCTCCCGAGACCATTCCGTTGTAACTATCCAACCTCCCAAAATTTGAACACCTCTTGCGATGGTTTGACCCTTTTCCGTTTTAACAGTAAATATTCTACAAATACCTTCCTTAGCTCCTCAAAATCATCTCTCCTGCATATTCCCTGTTTTACCTGACAAGGTGAGATTCAAGACGAAGACATATACCACAAAAGCGATGAGGAACCTGCTGTGCCCCTTCTGTCACCAGATACTGATGTGGACTCCTCTTATACATAAAGACCTTACTGCCCTGAGGTTTACCAATAGGGATGCGGGTGGCGCTGTGGTCTAAACCACTGAGCCTCTAGGGCTTGCTGATCAGAAGGTTGGCAGTTCGAATCCCCACGACGGAGTGAGCTCCCGTTGCTCTGTCCCAGCTCCTGCCAACCTAGCAGTTCGGAAGCACGCCAGTGCAAGTAGATAAATAGGTACCACTGTGGTGGGAAGGTAAATGGTGTTTCCGTGCTCTCTGGTTTCCATCACAGTGTTCTCTTGTGCCAGAAGCAGTTTAGTCCTGCTGGCCACATGACCTGGAAAGCTGTCTGCGGACAAACGCCGGCTCCCTCGGCCTTTGACTGGACTTAACTGTCCAGGGGTCCCTTACCTTTACCTTTAAACCTGCAGTCTACCACTGCCTGTTTACAGAGTCCCTCCCACTAGAAAGCTCTGACAGGCTGGCAAGGGAGACTTTGGGATCTGTTTCTTTTCAAGCATTTAATTCAACACAGAAGGGTTGTTAGAGGCCAAACTAAACAGGATGGACAAAGTACGATTCCTATATATCAGCCATGTAAATAAAAGTGATGTTAATGACAGACCTCCAACTGCTCGTGTTTACTTACAGAGAATCTGTCACAGATTGGTTAACCTTTGAAGATACATTGGTTAACCTTTGAAGATACATTCAATGATTCAGTTATTAGGCAGTGTCCCTGCTCAATTTCCCTTATAATATGCGACTGAAGTGTTCACATAACAAAATGACAGGTGATCAATGTCATTTTATTATAAAACCAATAAAATATTCCCCAAAAAGGGACACATCCTAGGACAGGAGAAGGGTGGTGGAGGATATGTCCTGGGGCCAAATACAGCTTCCCAGAGGGCTGCATTTGGCCCCTGGGCCTGCATGCCCCCACATTTGCCCCAGGACCTAGGGAATAAAGAAGAGAAGATCCCTCAAGACTGGTGAATCATTCACTGCTTAGCTCATAATGTGGAGTTTAGGAGAATTCCCATGTTCGCTGGCTAGCAGAAGCGTCACACATCCAGGATTTTCATCTGAGCCAGAGAATAATTTTGTGGTTCTACGTTTTCTTTCCTGAGCCTGAGAAGAAATTCACTGGTACAGTCATACCTTGGGTTGAATGTGCTTCAGGTTGAGCGCTTCCGGGTTGTGCTCCGTGGCAACCCGGAAGTAATGGAGCACGTTACTTCTGGGTTTTGCCGCTTGTGCATGCGCAGACACTCAAAATGATGTCACACGCATGCATGGAAGTGGCAAAACACGACCCACAGATGCTCTGTCGTGTCTTATGTTCTATTCAAACTCATTCTATGTTCTGTCCCTGTAGCTGAGACCTCATTTATCTTCTTGTCTTTTTCAGGGGATCAGAAGGAACTTGAACAGGTATGTAACTATTTCTTGTCACATACAAACACACACACACCTACAGAACAGATTCTGTTTCACTGAAAACAACATGTTCTTACAAGTATGACAACAAATTCTGCTATGTACAATCAACATTTAAAGCAAGGGTGGGAAATCTTTCTCCAATACCCTTTTAACCTTGACGACATTGATTTACCCTTACAACCTTTTACATATATTATAAAACATAAATTTGGAAATTGAGTAATAGGTCTGTGCCTTCTGACGGCAGCAGCCCCCCTCCTCACGTTTCTGCCTTTCCCATCACTTATCCCACAAATTGGGCCAAAGGAATTGTTGCAGGACTCTTACTATATTCATTAGTAGAAAGGGCACCCTGCTGTGCTATAAATTTTGGAAAGTGATTTTTCTGCCTGCTCTCTGTGCATTTGGACACCTCTTAAGATCTTGTAGTCAATTGTGCATGGTCTGAAGATCAAGAACAGGTTATTGTCTATATCTGGATAGAACTGGAGTCCATTTTTAATCACGATGTTGGACTGAATCTTTCAACACTGCACTCATTTTGTGACTTCTTAGAATTCCTGATCAGTACCAGGAAATTTCCCTCAAATGCAACCCCTGCTTTCTCCTCTGGTCAATTTCACTCTGAAGTGTGAGGCATGGGGAATGATATTGAGTTGGGGAAGCTTTGGATTTCCAGATGTTCTTAGACTACAGCTGTCATCATCTCTGACCCCTGGCAGGGCAACTGGGGCTAATAAGAGTTGGACAGAGCGACGGGTTCCTCATTCCTGGTCTAGAGGGTTTACTAGATTGAAATGTTCTTGGGAGAGAGACCTCCAGGCTCAAAATGTCAGAGTGGGACTCTTATCTGTGAATGCATCTGCGGGAAATTGCAGTTAAGAATAACTAGCAAGCATTGGGCTAGTTAGTGCATGAAGGGGTTAAAACCACAGAGTTAGATTCCTACACTCAGCTAGGTCATGCTCCCTTTCCTCAGGAGAGGAAGGAAGTGAGGCCTTCCCTCCCTCCCTCCCTCCCTAGCTCTCCATGCAATGTAACTGACCAAGAAGGATGTGCCTAAGCTTGTTCTCCAAGCTTAGAACACATGCTTGCAGCTACCGTATCTTTCGTTCTATAAGACGCACCTAGTTTTTAGAGGAGGAAAACAAGAAAAAAATATTCTGAATCAAATGTTGTTGAAGAAAGCAACGCAAAGCTTCAGTGTAAGCAACGCAAAGCCTCTTCAGTTCAACGGGAGGAACGCTCCTGCTGCCCTGAAGAGGCTTTGCACGGCTATCCCAGAAGCCAGAACAGCAAGAGGGATCGCTGCGCAGCAATCCCTCTTGCTGTTCTGGCTTCAGCGATAGCCGCGCAGCCTGCACGCGCTCCATAAGATGCACACACATTTCCCCTTACTTTTTAGGAGGGAAAAAGTGCATCTTATAGAGCGAAAAATACGGTATCTTGCTGTATTTTCTACACAGAACAACACATGTATCAGACTTTTGAATAGGTAAGTAAATAATTTTAAACTTAGCAGTGTGTGGTGTGTTCAATGAGGTCTGTTGCTTCAGTGGACTAAACAGAACTTTTAAACAGGATTCACAGTCTATTCCTATGCTGTACTGCTGCACAAGTTGTGACTTGATTTTAAATTCTGCTGGGGCTTTCTGTGTGCTAGCCCTGTGTTTTGAATCTAGGCACCTAGTCAGTTCTTTTGTTGTTCACCCACACATGTGAGTCGACAGGGATTCATATATTAATTCCCCCACAGCATCTTCTCTTTTTATGTTCTTACTACACATTTGTATGGGAGGGCAAGGGGATTGTTCAGTACTGAAAGCTGTCCATCTTCCCTTCCAGGTCCAAGGATGAGGAGGAAGTGGGGCATGAGTTGGTTAATCACCCCAACAGTTGCTCACCGAAAAACTTTGCTCTGATCAAGATTACAGAAAAATGGGAAGGTATTGGGGGCAAACAAGGGGGCAGGAAAATACGTTGAACTCAGAGACTTGCTAGTGCTCAGGGGCATGGCAAGGGGTGTGTGTGGGGGGGTGCGGTCCGTCCTGGGTGTCATGCCTAGGGTGTGTGTGACAAAACCCGCCTCCCAGGTGGATTGGCATGGTGGCGTTCGCACCCCCGGTGGGTGGATTTTCGTGATTGGCCAAGACCTCTGACCAGCATCAGAACGCCATCATGCACTGAACTGTGATGCATTACAAAAGCCACTCTAGACTCCCTTCTGTTATTAAGGCTAGCCAATTGATTAATCAATTCCTGCAAAGGGGCTCCATCCAGTTGCTCCATTTGACACCCAGCTTCTAGCAAATGATGCCCAAACTGATCCCTAATACCCAATCCATCTAGTCCTGTTCTCAACAGTAGTTGACATCTAGTCCTGTTCTCATTAGAAGCCTAGTTGGGGGGAAAACCATAGCTCAGAGCTAGAGCATCTGCCTTGAATGCAAAAGGTTCCAGGTTCAATTCTCAGCATCTCTAGGTAGAGCTGGGGAAGAGACAACCCTGTTTGGAACTCCAGAGAACTGCTGAATAGACAAGACTGTGCTGTATGGACCAAGGTATAAGGCACCTTCCTCTGTTTCCATCCATGCACATCTCCTTCCAGGAGCGCCTTCCGGGGGTGTGGCCTGGGGAGGAGGCATGGCCTAGAGAGAACCTTGAGAACCAGTTCAAGAGGACCTTGGGTCTCAGTTCTGCACCTGTAAGATAGGTCTCTGATTAGATCGAGCTGGGCTTGTTTTTACGTTCTTCAAATCTCCACTTTCCTTCTTTCCCTCTGTCCTGCAGGAAGTATAATTCTGGATCCAAGCACAGCATATCCATACCTCATTGTGTCTGATGACCTGAAAAGCGTGAGATGGGGAGATGGAAAGCAGGACGTGCCCACGAGCCTTGAGAGGTTTCACTTCGATCCCTGTGTCCTGGGTTGCGAGAGATTTGTTTCAGGAAAACACTGGTGGGAGGTGGAGGTGGGGATGGAGGTTGAGGAGGAAGAGGCTGAGTGGGCTGTGGGGGTTGTACGAGAATCTTTCCAGAGGAATGCGAAGAGCAGCCTTAGTCCTTATTGTGGGATCTGGGCTGTGGGAAAGGAGAGGAATTCTGGCCATGGCTCATTGAGTGACTCTCTTCCGTCCCATTGCCTCTGGGCTTTTACTTCTCCCAAGTGGACCATGTTGAGACTGGAACGTCTTCCCAGGAAGATCAAGGTGTCCCTGGATTATGAAAAGGGAGTTGTGGAATTTTTCGATACTGATTTGGGCAAACCAATATTCAAATTCTGTTCAGCCTTGTTTAATAGGGAGATGGTCATTCCCTATTTGCGGGTAGAACGTGGTGTCTCCCTGAAATGCTCTTGAGAAGAAAGCCACATCTCTGCGGCAATGGGGCAAATGGTTCTCACGAATGACTACTGGTTCCTGAACATGCATCACTGAAACTTTTATCTGTGGGCCAAGAGCTGGGATGTGTCTTGCCAAAGGCAAGGTGGTTCTTTTAAAGTTCAGAAGCAATACAAAATACACAAGTGAGTGAGAAGATTAAAGGTTTTATTCCAAAGCAACAAGCGATGTATACATACCAAGCAAGCACTTCAACCTGCCAATTGGAAGCCCTCAAGAAGCAATGAAGCAACCCGCCTCCGCCGTAGCCTCAGTTGACACAGTCCTGCAGCTGATCGGCACGAGCTTCAGAGAAACTCTGCCCAAACCATCAGATTTTAGATGTAGCAGTGCAAATATCCAGAGTGTGGGGTCAGGTGGGATTACTATGAGGAATTATAAAATATGCATCAAGCCATTGTGTCCACGATGAATGCATTGACTGGGTTTGAGACATTGACAATAATTTCTGATCTAATCCCACAACCCTCTGCATCTCTGGCCATTTCCTCTACTGTCCATTTCTCTTGCTTGACAAGTCACTTACTGCAGGCAGGCATCCTGGGTCATCAAAGACAGTGGGCAGTTTCTTTGATGTAGCTTTTCTGATATGTTAATCTTAGGGCCAGGAGACAGGTCTCACATAAAGGTGATAATGATCGCTGTCCTCCTGGCCATCCTTCTTATCATGTGTATTGATTCTTTATGACCTCCCGGGTTGCTGAATGCACTCTTTTGTAGTTTTCATTCATTTACCCCCAAAGTATGCATGCTTAACTAGGGTTTGTAGTTTAACGTTGTCCCCTACGTGGGGTTTGTTGAAATGCTCAGAAGAAATCTGCTTGGTTCTTATGAACACTCTGTAAAAAGTTCTTTTGTGAATACAGTGGTACCTCGCAAGACGAATGCCTCGCAAGACAGAAAACTCGCAAAACGAAAGGGTTTTTTGAGCTGCTTCGCAAGACGATTTTCCCTATGGGCTTGCTTTGCAAGACGGAAACATCTTGCAAGTTTGTTTCCTTTTTCTTAACACCGTTAATACAGTTGCGACTTGACTTCGAGGAGCAACTCATAGCACGCGGTGTGGTAGCCTTTTTTGAGGTTTTTGAAGACTTTGGTGATTTTTGAAGCTTTTCCAAAACTTTTCTGACACCGTGCTTCGCAAGACGAAAAAAATTGCAAGACGACAAAACTCGCGGAACGAATTAATTTCGTCTTGCGAGGCACCACTGTAAAATGACCTGGGCCGGAGGGAGAGACACAGAGATTATTATATGCACCCTTCCCAGAGTCTTGCTGGTTCAAGCCTCTGTGTGTATTCTTATTAATCAGAGTTCAATCCTTCCTTTACTTTGAGAACACCTCGTTTATAGACAAACCTATGCAGCTTTCAAGACTGGCTGCGTTCAGATCATCCATTAGCCACCCCCTCCCAATGCCTCACTTTCTCAGAACATGTCAAACATGAAAGAAGGTACCAAGCACTATCCTCCCCAACTGATAAGGCAGATGGGGGGGGGGCTCTTCACCTCCTCCCAACGTTCCCAAAACATTTAAGACTGTTCTCAAAACATTCGAGAGAGAGGAAGGGGGAAGTGTTATGTACTAAAGTTCTCACCCTGGGCCAGCAGGGGGATACTGTAGATAGTTCAGGTCCACATATGCAAATAAGGGATTGAAAGTGACATTCAGTGATTGGATAGTTACAGAAAGTTGTTACTGTTGCGTTCTAGTGGAGCTCTCTATAAGCAGGCTGGCTGAACCCTTCAGTTCAGTTCTGTTCTGACCTGTGAATAAACAAGAGCTGTTTGGAGAATCGCTGTGTCGTCTGATATGTTCACCCACAACTTAACAGGAAGGAACAGGGGCAGGAAGGGCTCTGTGTCAGACCATTAACTGCTCGATACATTTTGTCTTCCGGATGCATTTCCCATACAGGATGTTGGAGGAATCCATTGGAAAGGGACTATCAAATGGATTACCTTCGGTCTGCCTCTTTGACCTCTATCACAGCACAGTTTCTCTACCAAACACATTTTTTTAAAAAAAGAACTCTAATGGTTAGAAAGCAGCTTCCTATGGCTACCCATGCCAGTCTTGCCATGCATCTCATATATTTTTAATTTCATAAAATTTGTACACTGCTTGATTGTGGGGAAAAAAAACAGCCCAAAGTGTTTTGCAAAAGAACCTTCTGTGCCTGCCTTACTGCAGTTTGCAATAAACTTTTTCTACTTTCCACCTCATCTGTCTGAAAAGTAGGTTGGAAGCTGCCCAGCATAGCTGGGACAACCCAGTCAGATCAATGAGATAGAAATAATAAAATTATTATTATTATTATTATTATGGAACAGGACGTCCCTATTTCAATCAAATAATTGTTGTAGTTCATTGGTACAGCATCTGTTCTGCATGTAGAAGGCCCCAGGTTCACTTCCTAGCATTTTCATGTAGGCTCTGGAAGGACTCCCTGTCTGAAAAACTAGAAAACCACTACCACTCAGTATAGACCCCCTGAGCTAGTTGGACCAGTGGTCTGACTCAGAATAAGGCAGCTTCTTATGTTTCTGGCTAGGAAGCAAACATTTGTATGCCCACAGCCTGAGGGACTCATTTGCATCCAGACTTTGCCTCTGCTCCACCTCTGAAATTCTACCTCTTAAATGTGCTTAAAGATTTCAGTGGGGTTGGGAGCTGTACTAGGGTTGAAAAGGCTGGTTGCTCCATAAATGCTGCTAGACCATGGTTCTGCTAGCACCTCCAGCTCTATGGTTTCTGGGTCTTTTCTTAGCAGGTACTGGCAATCTCCTGGAAGCTACAGATTCAGTTCTAGACGCCTTGGCAGAGACTTAGGTCTTATTGCCTTGCCACATGGAGAATTACACACGGACAAGGACTGAAAATTGGATCTGCAGTTGGATAGGGGACAATCTCTGCAATCCCGTCCTTGCTACTCAGATGGAGACATTGGGCTGGAGCCAAACTTTTCCGTTGAAATCAGTGGAACTTAGGTTGAACTTATCCCATTGATTTCTGCGCTCTGCAGGAGAGGACCTCTGCAGATACCATCTTATCAGGAGGTCTGCTCCATATAACACGGGAACAGGGCCTTTAGTGTGGTGGCACCTGCCTTTGGAATCCCCTCTCATTAAATATCAGACAGGTGCTGCCTCTGTTGCCTTTTTGGTGCCTGCGGAAGAGCTCCCTCTTCCAACATGGCTTTTGGGTGGAGATCTTTCCCAGTCCACATCTGTACTGGAATTACGTTAACATGTTTTATTGTTTGTGTGTTTGCCGCCCTTTGAGAGGGAGGGTGGGCTACAAATCAAATAGATTTCAGTGGGGCACATGTTCAGCTAACTTAACATGGATCCAGCCTCTGATGTTTGTAGAAAGCTGCATCTCTGTGGACAGCGACGTGATCCACCTCAGGGTTATGGAATGAAAGACTCAAAGTTCACAGGCTCATCCAAGGGTCACCGGCATGCTCTGTACCTGCTGTTCTGCTTTAAAAACAACCTGCTGATGTCTCTGTGTTGTGTTTGTGTCTTCGAACCACAGGCAATGCAGAAGTGATGCTGAACCAGCCTGGCTCTATGCTGGCACCCCTAGGAAATGTCACTCAGCTCCCCTGCACCCTGTCTGGCGACAGCATCACAAGCATCGCGAGCCACATCATCGTCTGGCTCCAGCGGAAGTATCAGGGCTCTCCCAAACGCATTTTGTATTACAAAGATGAATCGAACCAACATAAAGTCTCGGGGGTACCTGATCGCTTTTCTGCTTTCAAAGATGCCCAAAGGAGCACCTGCTACCTCACTATCTCTGGGGTCCAGGCAGAGGATGACGGCATCTATTACTGCCTGACATCGGCAGGGGGAGAATACCACAGTGCTTTAGCTTAAGGGAGAACCAGGACCAAAACTCCATCCTATCCCCTTGGGGAGTAGGCTATAGACACAGCTGATAAGGAAGTCAATCCGGCAGATGGATTTGCATGAAGACACTTGTCAGAGTCTAGATTCTATTTCTGTAGTTTGGGCAGCGAATGAAAACCCCCCAAACCACAATCGTGTTTCAGTTCCCACCTGTACAGACCAATAGCAAATCCCTTCTCTCTGATTTCAGATCCTTAGGTAGCTAAATGTCGCCATCTACAGAGAAGGAGGAGCTCTTTGGAGGCTTGGCGGTGGGGAGGAGGAATCTAAAGGTTTGCAGAAGTGCAAAATGTGGTGAGCCAGTGTGGTTTGGTGGTTAGGGCTCAGACTAGGACCTTGGAAATCAGGGTTCAAGTCCCCCTAGGACACTAAGTGGAGTAAAAAGGTAAAGGGACCCCTGACCATTAGGTCCAGTCGTGACCGACTCTGGGGTTGCGTGCTCATCTCGCTCTATAGGCCGAGGGAGCCGGCGTTTGTCCTCAGACAGCTTCCGGGTCATGTGGCCAGCGTGACTAAGCCGCTTCTGGCGAACCAGAGCAGCACACGGAAACGCTGTTTACCTTCCCGCCGGAGCGGTACCTATTTATCTACTTGCACATGACATGCTTTCGAACTGCTGGGTTGGCAGGAGCAGGGACTGAGCAATGGGAGGTCACCCCGTCACGGGGATTCGAACCGCCGACCTTCTGATCGGCAAGTCCTAGGCTCTGTGGTTTAACCCACAGCACCACCCGCGTCCCCCTAGACAGAGACTGGCCCAACCTCACAGGGCTGTTGTGAGAATAAAACAGAGACATATTCTACTCATGTAAAAACACACTGATTCCTGGACCATCCGTGGGCCGGATTTAGAAGGCAATTGGGCCAGATCCGGCTTCTGGGCCTTAGTTTGCCTACCCATGCACTAGCAAAAACATGTACATTAGTCAATGCTGAATAAAAAAAAGGTGTGCATTAGGAGAAATTCACATTAACTTACTGGCAAATTTTCATGACTTTTCCCAAAAAAACTGCAGAAAAGTGGAGAACTCAATTTAAGAACGGAAAAATGAGAAACTTAGAAAACCTGCCTGACTCCAAAAGGGTCAAAGTGAAGACTGTAAATTCACTTTGAGAATTCTTATGGGGTGAGACATCAGTGGGATCCAAGAGTGGAACTATCTCCCACGGGAGGCAATGGACTCTCCTTCCTTGGAAGTTTTTAAGCAGAGGTGGGATGGACATCTGTCATGGATGCTTTAGCTGCATTTCAGGGGGTTGGACTAGATGATCCTTGAGGTCCCTTCCAACTCAACGGTTCTATGATTCTATGAAATAAACACAATATCTAGCCTTTTTTTAAAAAAAATAAAAATAAACTGTCGTTCGCAGACACCTGGAAACCACAATCAAATATTTCTTCCTGCACCTGTTGTGCCCATCACCCCCCAAGGGAAATTCTGTTGCTCTAAAAAGGCGTTCAGCTTACTCAAGCTGAAAACTCCCCCCAGCTTTGCTCTTAAAATTCTCACCATGAGATGGCCCTATGGTAGAATGGATGGCGAGAAAAACTCTTTTCTGAAATAGCATGGAAGGACCCCCTTTGTAACGGCTGCACTTTACATATAGCTTTCAGTTGTAATCAGGATGAATCCTCAAAGAGTAACCAACATTGTGCAAACCAGCCAGGAGGAATGTTTTAGAAAGCAGGTTGTCCTTTTACTGACTGAGTTAATCAAGGAAGGAATGGCTGCTCTTAACTTGGAACAGGGACATCTTAAGTGGGGAATTCCAGGATCAAATCAGAAACTGGGACGGCTTCTGTAAATCCAGCACTGTTCCTGGAAAATAGGGACACTTGGAGGGTCAGGAAGGGAAGCAAAGAAGACCATCGGTGAATTAATCCCTGCTGGAGAGGCAGAGCAAACACTATACAGTGGTACCTCGGGTTAAGTACTTAATTCGTTCCGGAGGTCTGTTCTTAACCTGAAACTGTTCTTAACCTGAAGCACCACTTTAGCTAATGGGGCCTCCCGCTGCTGCCGCGTCGCCAGAGCACGATTTCTATTCTCATCCTGAAGCAAAGTTCTTAACCTGAGGTACTATTTCTGGATTAGTGGAGTCTGTAACCTGAAGCGTCTGTAACCTGAGGTACCACTGTAGAGGGAAAGCCGTTCAATGCTGGGATATCAGAATCCCCACCTTGGTGCTGCCATCTTGCTGCATAAAGGACACACCCCATTACAATTGTGGCAGAAGTATCCTCCATTTATCCTCATCTGTGATGCAGCCATGGAAAGAATCAAGCAGGGATGAGCAACGCTGTGTCTCCCAAGATGCTCCTGGGCTCCAACTCCCATCAGCCCCAGCTGGCGCAACCAATGATCAGGAGGGGTTGGGAGTTGTTCAGCAACACCTGGAGCTCCACAGTTCCCCCACCCTTGAGACAGGGGCTTTATCTATATATGCATGCAAACACACCCACACACCCATGCCAGGAATCCTACATGTTTCTTCCTTTCAAAGACTGGACCCTAGAAGGGAGCAGAGATGCAGATTTGCATAAGGAAGACCTTCCTCAGGCCTCAGGAGGGTTTAAAGGAGAAGAGCATGAGGCTCTTGGTCAGCAGAGCTGCTAGTCTGTCTTCTCCACCATGGGACTGAACCTTCTCCTCCTCGTCTTCTCGGCTTTTTGCAACGGTGAGAAATAGGGATTAGGTTTGATCAGGAGGGTTCCCCGATTAAGCAGCTGTCGACGTTGCTTTGAGCTGCTTTCCCATTTCTGCGATAGCTTCATCGCTTAGCATGGTACCTCACTCTCCAGAGACAGCAAGTGTGTGACAGTACTGCTCCCCAGAACCCTGTCTTTATCAGTACCAATAAAATCATGGGATGCATGTCCCTTATTGACACTGGCAAGTTTCAGAGGTGAGTGATGCAATGGTTTGGTTTCCATCTTATTCCTCCCAGGTCTCAGCTCCCAGGCTGCATTGACTCAGACAAACGGTCCCGTCTCCGTGGCCCTCGGAGGGTCAACAACCCTGTCCTGCACTCTGCAAGGCGTGGAGTTTATCAGCACAGTCCACCCATCCTGGTACCTTCAGAGAGAAGGGAAGGCTCCCCAGTTACTAATCTACAAGTCCAGAGAAAGAGCCACAGGTATCCCTGAGCGCTTTTCTGGAGAGACATATGGCAACACTGCAAAGCTAACTGTCTCCAGCATTGAGGAGGGCGACGAAGGGGATTATTATTGTGCACTGTGGCATGCAAACATGTTGCACCGTGATGCAGTCATATGTAGAACTGGAACAACAACTCTCTGGGCCCGAAAGAGAGGTGCAGGAACAAGAGGAGTGGAGAGGAGAAAGGTTCTTGGACCTAAAATTGTTGCATGTTTAATGCACTGAAGTAGAGATTTTTGACTACAGAGGGATACTCTTTCAACTCCAGCTGTTAGCATCTACCTCTGTCTCCCATCGTTGGGTCTCCAGCTGTTTTTGGACTGCAACTCCCATCATCCTTAGCTGGCAAGACCAGTGGTCAGGGATGATGGGAATTGAGTGGCGAGTTCCTGTCCCACCCCCCCAGGGGAAATAAAGACACACGACACAATTATTAAGGTTAACGGGCTAAATAAGACCACAACTTTATTGGTTACAGGTGATGAGTGGTATTGGCTTAGGCATTGGTCCTAACCGACTATATCCGTCCGCACATCAACTAGGAACTCCCCCGGGGTCACTGCTCGGGGGCGTGCCTTAGGCATCTGACAGAGTGCAGCAAAGGCCCTTCTGCTTATTTTGGAGCTTTAATACCCTCTGGGACAGGAGCAGGACATTTGCATGAAGAGTCTGCTGTCTGGGCCCCTGGAGGTTTAAGAGGGATGGGGAAGAGGCTGGCCAGAGATCCCATTGCTTCCTGTTCCTCCACGATGGCCTGGGCCTCCCTGATCATCTCAATCCTGTCTTCCATCGGTGAGAGCAATTGAATAGTGAAAGGAAGAGAAAAATCTGACAAAAGTCTTTTACACTATAATCCAATATTTGTGAAGGTTTGGGGGTTGCTACACTGTGTGAGACAGTTCTTGTTGCATGGCGAGTTCCCGACCCCCCCCCCCGGTGGAAATAAAGACACATGAAATATACTCCGAGTCGCAAAGTGATTTCATGCTCTTTATTCAGCTCATAGTGGTGAGGAGGAATGAAAGTCCCCTCAAAGTATCTGCTTTATATACATTATTTACACAATGGGCTGCACATGATTGGCTAATTCCGGAATTCTACTGTAAGCCAATCAGGTTGTGGATTCACTTCCACCTGGAGCTGGATTGGGTGGCTCCTGCGGACCAGTAATACTGCTGCATTGTTCTAGGACCAATCAGACTGCTGCATTCTGAATCCTATTGTTCTAGGACCAATCAGACTGCTGCCTTTTGGATCCTATTGTTCTAGGACCAATCAGACTGCTGCATTTTGGATCCTATTCAACTCAGTACATAACAACACATGACACAATTATTAAGGTTAATGGGCTAAAAAAAAGGCCACAACTTTATTGGTTGCAGGTGATGAGTGGTATTGGCTTAGGCATTGGTCCAAGAAGAAGAAGAAGAAGAAGAAGAAGAAGAAGAAGAAGAAGAGTTTGGATTTGATATCCTGATTTTTCACTACCCGAAGGAGTCTCAAAGCGGCTACCATTCTCCTTTCCCTTCCTCCCCCACAACAAACACTCTGTGAGGTGAGTGGGCTGAGAGACTTCAGAGAAGTGTGACTGGCTCAAGGTCACCCAGCAGCTGCATGTGGAGGAATAGGGAATCAAACCCAGCTCACCAGATTATGAGTCCACCACTCTTAACCACACTGCCTCTCCTAACTGACTATATCTGACTCCAGCTCATCTGCTTGAAGTCCGGGAAGGGTTAACCACCAGTAGGGGGAGTCCTGCTGATGCACATCAACTAGGAACTCCCCCTGGGGTCACTGATAGGGGGTGTGCCAGCTGGC